TCTCTGTTCCTCGATGCCTCTTAACTTTCCCTTCGTCTGTCCATTCACAAATCACAATTTCAACATACAAATTCATCAACAAGTTCGAGTTTCAAGCTTCAATCCGATTCGAACAACAATTTCAAAATTAGAAACACGAATAGCCTTGAGATTGAAATCCCAAAACAACAAAGCGATTGCGAAGAAACAAATTAAAATTCCCACTGCCCCCAGATTTTCTCGGGAAAACGGAGGAGAAAGTATAACCAAAGAGAGAGAAGAACATATTACCAGAATACGAAGAATCATCGCTTTGATCTCTACTTCTCTTCTTCTCCTTTAAGCTCCGTTCGCTTCCCATGATTTTTCCGACTGACTTATAGAACGGAGAAGGAGCAACATTCATATATTCCTTTTCATTTGGGCCCCGAGACTTACCGGGTCGGGTCTCGATGGCAAAATTTTGCATTTAAACTCCCGTACTATTTTTATATTCCTCATATCACCCCGTTGTTTTACCCAATACTATTTAGCACCCCTTAAAGTTACAAATGTATTTGTCTTCTCCAGAATTTTGATTAAGATCAATAATAAATTTCTTTTCATATTATTAACAAAGCATTTGGTCTACAAAGACAAGAGACTGCATTTTCTTGAAGATGGTCTCAACGGAGCTAAACTCCAACTCAAAACCATAGCTCCGACCACCGTACTCAACATATAGAAACCTCGCCGGAGAATCTTCTGGTGGTGAAGGCAAAACCATAGAGATCTCTGGAAACTTCAGAGACGGTGGAAGAGGCAAATCTTTCTTCTTCTTGAGAGAGTAGTACACATCGGCTAAGAGAATCCATATGAGATCAGGATCAATGCATGCCAAACCTCTCAACGCATTTAAAGCTGCTTCTCTTAAGCCAGTTACACCGCTGCAAGCGATCCCAACGACTAGTCCCGCAACTTTCTTCAAGACTGCATCTAATGCTGAAGCGCTGCGTTTGTCTTTGGAAAGCTCGGCAATCATATCAAGAAGTGCAGCTTGTACTTTCAAGCTGGAAACTTCAGCATTGGAAGAAGAAGAAGAGTCGGAAGACACAGAAACGGTTCTGTAAGGAAGCCGGAGAACTGATTTGTTGTCTTCCCGGAGGATCTTTGGTGTCATAATGTGGAACGGAGATGTTGTTAAAAGCTTCCAGAATTCCGGGCCATCAATGCGGAAACGACGAGTGAAGAAATCTCCTTTAGATGTTTGAATGACTCGGGTTATCACGGTTAAGCATCTCCGCACAGCCTGTGGAAAATGCAGCGGGTTTAAAATCCGTCAAGTGTAGAAATAAATCAGAAGAGAAAGAGAGAGATCGTACCACAGGATTTCTGTTTCGTATGCAAGCAACTAATAATGGCCAGATTTTGTTGATAGCGGGAAAAAGCCGGTTTTCATCTGCTCCACCGTCGGTACTATTCATGTAGTCTTTAAGCTGAAAGAGTGAAGCAAATTCAATGACTTCTTCTATTGTTTCTTTGGTTTCTGTCTCAGCTCGATAAGCTTCCTCAACTTTAGCCAGTGCCACTACACCTTCCTGTATGATTGGAAAGTTTCGGATTTAGTTCAGTTGCGGAAATGTACTGGACAGAGCTCAAGAAAAAACTAATATAACGGAGAATTTACCTCAACTATATCAAGGGAAACCAAGCATGAGACTTGATTTGATGATGCAAGGAGAGGCGTGGCAGCAATTAAACATGAAGAGGCAATCGATCCAACTATGCGTCTGTATAGTTTAGAACGATTCAGTTCAAGCAGTGTATTTTCCCATTCTTCTTCGTCGTTAACTGTATTGTCAGAATCTGAACCTCTCTCTTGCCTCGATGTTATCGCATCACATGCTTTGGTCTTAACATGGTCACTATATGACTTGGCTCGGTCTGGTAATAGACAAGACTCGTTCTTTGATGCTTTGACAATCTCAGCAACAGCCTACCAGAAGCACCAAAAAAGGTTATGCTGTTTCTTAGACCAATAAAACTAGTGATTCTAAGAGACTGCAGAAGAAGAAAAATTGAAAGATTGAATCTACCTTCAAGAAGGGTAAAGTTAGATTTGGATGCTGTTGTCTACCAACAATTTCTAGTTCCTGGGAAACCAATCGCATCTGCAGATTCCCCCAAACGATAAAACAAAAGTTCTTAACGAAGATATGGTGATTAAGATCCCACAAAGACAATATTTCGATAAAGAAAAATGGTTCGCTGCAAATAGCCCTACCGGTTCCTCCAACAAAGGCAATATTTCATGTGCAACTCCAATATAAGAAAGCATAGCAGCAAGAACATTTGGGACCTGAGGATTAAGATCCAGGTGGCGTAGCTGGCGACAAATAGAGTCAATAACATAATCCGCATTTGCTACAACCAGTTGTCCTACCTGCAAACAAACAAAAAAAAGAAGGGCAAGATTTTCATTAAAACAAAATGTATTGTGATGTGCTTGAATCCAATTACAGTATCATAAGTTCTCACTGTCGGATGGCCAGAGGTGGCAGCTAGAAGACGTAAGACAGAGTCCGAAGCATTTCTAACTTGGAAGCTCGAGCAAGTAAGACTCTCCAGCAGAAGGTAAAGTGAAGAGTGAAGAAATCCACTTGAAGCAAAATCTTTCCCAAGGCACAAGGAAAACACACCTACTCCTTCTAGTATAACTTGGTGTAGCATTGCAGTGTCCCTTAAGAAATGCAGACTAATATGTTGAACATCGGTATCAGTCTGCCCAGAAATTGTCTTTTGGTCTACAGGGAGATCCCACACTTCAGAAGATTGATATTCGTGCAAGATTTTACCAACACAGTCAATCAGATGAGCTTTTGCACGTTTGTTCCATGAGATTTCCCAGGAAAGTTTGTCTCTTCCCTTTCCTGACTTCCTAAGCAGTCTTGAGAGAGCATCAGTTGCTTGATCTGATAGACCAAAAATCATCTCATTCAAGATACAAGCAGCAGTTGCTGCCTGGCGAACTAACTGTCCGGAACCCATTTGATTACACCACGATTGCCAGTCTTCTCCGTTATACTCCTTTACACGAACTTCCGACACCAATTTACGAAAAAATCCCAGAGGAATATCCAGGATGACTGCTAAATTCCCGTTGTTTTCAGATCCTAACAAACACAAAGACATCATTTACTATCAGTAACTAACTCCGCTATAAGTTAACAGCAGAATAATTGCTGAAAATGGTTTCAAGGGAACTCGAAATGACCTGTCAATAAGGATAAGCCCACAAGTCTAAGGATTCCAGCGAGCATCTCGTAGAGCTTCTGACTACCAACATAAGAGAACCAAGGAGGCATGCGAGGTAACATATAGCTGGTGGTCCACGATAACTCCAATTTTTCTTGATCTGATTCAGCGATATTTGGAACAGTGTGGTTGTAACCGGCCTTCCGAAAACCCACTTTTAATTCTGTGATAGAAGGGAGGTAACCTTTCGATGACGAAGGCCTTTCTGTGATGAGTTTTTCAAGAGAGCCAGTAAATGCTGAATTATGACTCAGACAAAGGGCAAATATATCCAGGAATCTGCTAGCTGTTATCTACATAAAAGAATGCCAGGAAGCACCAATCATATATCGCAATCCATTATTAGATCATGTTTGGTTTTTGGAACTGGATTTTTGCTGATAGAAGATAGAAGTAACCAAACCTATGAGCGTGTCAAGAAAGAATACATACTGGAGATTGAAGATGATCCGCCAAAAACCGAGGACCCGAGTAATAAGTGACTACAAGTAACTGCTTCACCACTGAAAGTGCAGGCAATTCCTCATTCCCCAAAACGACTTTTGGAAGCCTCTCTAGCAGTCTGTTGCCATCAACAAGCCACGGAAATAAATTTAAAACAAACGTATATGTAAGAGACCTGAATACTGAACTTGAAAGGAAAGAAAAGATGTAATAGCAAAGAGAACAATACCTGCTAAAGATCTTGATTATATCACTCTCTACGTGATATTTTGTACATTCAGAGAATAAATGATCGAGAAATTCCTGGGCTGCTACAGAAACTTCATCAGAGTCATCAACAACCAGAGTACATACACATTCCTGCATCATAATAAGTAATTTATCCAGCGGCAAAATCCTTCTCATGGAAATATCTAAGATCATTTGTTTTCGTTAGTTATGAACTTACCAACATCACTAATCTGGCTCCCTTCAACGAGCGTGGGCTCTTAGTTAGCAATCCACGTATTGCTGCTAGAAATCCCAATCTTACTTTGCTGGCTGGGTGAATAAGAATCTGAAACCAGTAAGATTCACCACTCAGACAAAACAGCTCCAAAAGTATTTGGGATAGAAGTGATGAACAGAGCACATGAGAAAGAAAAAAACATACGTGAGGAAATGTCCCACACAACAGCTTATTCACGTGAGATGTAGTGCTCTCTAACCATTCCTTCGTACGTTCAACATGGAAGGAGTCACGGCTCAGATTCTGATTGGATTTTTCGTGTACATTGATGGTTTTAACAATCTCTTGGCTTGTAGTTTCTGTCAGCTCATCACTTTGCCCTTGAGATTTTGTAGTCAAGGAACGAAGCTCATCCAAAATCGAGTGTGCAGATTCATGCTTCTGAGACGTAGAATCATCATCAGAAATGTCGAGGGCCGATGAGTTAGCCTCATCCTGCAGGACTATCATAAGAAACTCGGCTAAACCTCTAATTGCTTGGTCTAATGCGTCAACACTTCCTGAAGCTCCACTTATCATTGCTCTCGAAACATGCAACACTTTGGCAATTTGGCTAACAACACCAGGTAGAAAAAACGCCAACACATCTGCAGTACCAACCTACAATAAAAATAATATACCTATTAGGACCAAAACGTGTCAATGGTCCAAAATATATTTTCCCCCAAACGATTTCCATTTCAAGAAACGAAATGCGTCAAAACATGTAACCATAATGTTATAGCTACCTTAGCCACAAGTACGCGTAAGGCCAAAAAGGCTTCGACGCGAAGGTTTGCACTTCCTCGATGTCCTCGAGCAGCCTCAGCATCAGCCACCTAGGTGCAGTGATCAAAATTGATTTACTTTAGAAATTTATGCAACTACATGACTCCACATGTAAGAAAAAAGGAAGCATAAGGAGAAAAGGGTAATGTTACTTTGAGAAGAATGGAAATCCAATGACCCACAGCAGCCAAAGCAGACTGAGACTGAAGAAATGCAAGCAAGCATTCTCGAGTTTCTTTATCATACTTGAAAGACTCTGAAACTCGAGTTTGATAATCTCTTCTATCTGACAGTTGAGGCCAGCCAACAGTGCGCTTACACGAGCAAGAATCATCAGAGCATGGAAGCAGACCAGAGATCATCGCCCGAAAACATTTAACGATCCCTTCACG